AACACCAAAAGCGAAAGGAGGAGCTGTTTGCTTGTGGGCCTTCATTTCAGTTGGTTCCAAGAAGAAAAAAGATCTTTTTTTCGTTTTGTTTTTTGGAGAGGTTTTTGCTATAGGGCGCGTGCGCTCGCCAGACAGAGAGAAACAGAGAGACAGAAAGCGAGAAATCACCCCCCAGGTGGGATGGTCATGCAACCCGTTCTCCTCCTTTCTCCTCTCGGGATCTTGGGCACGCACGCACACGCGCCTGGCCTGAGTTTTAAGCCACCGGGTCCGGGACTCGAACCACGGGCGACTACATGGGAGTCCGGTGACTACATGGGAGTCCAGCGACATAGCCATTACACCAACCACTGGTCCCAAGAAAAAAGATTCTTATAAAGAGACTGACCTACTTGGGAGCCAGCAGGTGGCATGGGGGTTAAGGTGTTGGACTCCCACATGGCCAACCACAGTTCGGGTCCAGGACCTGGTGGCTTGCTTTCCCACTTTCTCTCTCTCTCTCTCTCTCTCTCTCTCTCTCTCTCTCTCTCTCTCTCTCTCTCTCTCTCTCTCTCTCTCTCTGTGTGTCTCTCTGGTGAGTGCACCTGCCCTATAACAAATTTAAAATAATAATAATGACAAATAATTATAATTACGTTGGGTTGTTGAAAAAGTCATGACACATTTTTGCATAGAAAAACATAGAGAAATACGTCATGACTTTTTCAATGAGCCAATAAATAATAACAACAATAAATATTGTAAAATAAACAATTCCTAAAAAGAAAAACCCAACGACCTACCAACCTAGGCTCTCTATACGGAGAATGGAGACACCCTGGGTGCAGGGTGATACCTGCTCTCCCAGAGGAAATAACCAACCTGAAGCTTCCAAGGAAGCTGTGCTCTCCTCCTGGTGGGACAGCCTAGTTCCTTATTTTTTATTTATTTATTTTTAAGAGAGATATTTTTGCTATAGAAGCACTCACTGGAGAGACAGAGACAGACAGAGAGCAAGAAGGGTGATTTCCCTCCTCCATTCTCCTCCCGGGATCTTGGGCACACATGCACCTGGCGTAAGTTTTAAGCCGCCCGATCCGGGACTCGAATTGCGGCCAACTACATGGGAGTCCAGTGACATAACCACTACGCCATCTGCTGGTCCCCTAGAGACAAACGCATCTGGACAGAAGGAAACCTTGGGCTCTTCGGCAGACTTCCTTGTAGCCCTCACCAACACACATGCTCCCCACGGGGCCATGTCTTCCCCACACTGAGGTCCGCTGGCCACTGGGAGTATGGCCGACTGTACACTGAGGACAGAAGGGCTCTCCTGCCAGCCCAGCACTGCGACACCAACGCTGAGGCCCGGACGGTGAAGGACGGACCCACAGCTAAGAGTGACAATAAAGATCTATGCTTTTATCTACCACAGGTACCATTTCTCTCTCTGAATGGAAACACACGTACACACTCACTGACCAGACTAGTTCCGATAACCTAAGGATAACGCAACCCCTACCTTAAGTTTCACGGACTGTTTATGTGTCTCCTTCAAAAGTTCTTAGAAAAATTGAACTCGAGACCAGCAGGTGGCATGGTGGTTAAGGCGCTGGACAGTTCCACGTGGCCAACCACGGTTTGAGTCCTGGACCTGGTGGCTTGCTTTCTCACTTTCCCTCTTTCTCTCTCTGTCTCTCTGGTCAAATTAACATAAAATGAATGAATGAATAAAAATAAATAAATGATTCTTTTTAAAAAGAAAAATTAATCAGCTGGGTTCTGGAGAGTAGGACACACATTTTCACAAGTGAAATTCATAGAACTGAATATCAGAATTCTTTTTTTTTTTTTTGAGATGTTTTTGCTATGGGGCGCGTGCACACACCAGAAAGACAGAGAGAGATAGAAAGTGAGAGATCACCCCCCCGGGGGAGATGGCCACGCCGCAATCCCTTCTCCTCCATTCTCCTCTCGGGATCTTGGGCACGCATGCACACGCGCCCAACGTGAGTTTAAGCCACCGGGTCTGGGACTCGAACTGCGGTCACCTACATGGGAGTCCAGCAACATAGCCATTAAGCCAATTGCTGGTCTCTGAACTCCAGAATTCTACTCTAACCTGTGAGGCTCCAGAACCACCAGCATCCTACAATCTATTGCAATAACAAAACAGCATAAGTCGATCAACTGGACTTCGGCCTGTCAGTCAAAACCATAAGAGACACAGACTCCCAATTTTGTGAATGTTTATGAAAGGCTGTCAAGCCAATCTGATTTGCTTACTATCTCCATGGAAAATGATTCCCAAGGATACGAGAGTTTGCAGTCGTCACTTAACTTCGTTTTGAAAATACTACCAGCCTTACGAGAAGCTGCGGAATGAGAACCAGCCACTAGTACCAACCCTTAGGAATGAAAGCAAGGCTCCCTGTCTTAGTGGCTAAGATGCAATACACAGGAAATGCAGCAGAATGAGGATGCAGGTCAATCAAAACTGTCACGAATGTTTAAAAATTACCTGAGGTCTCTGATTTTTCTGTAGCTACGTAAACAATAGAGAGATGATCGAGCAAATCTTGTGTGTTTTCTTCAAATTCTTTGGAAGCATTTTCCATCGTTACAATTATGCTCATCTGTAGGCGTAAAACGTCGTCAGATTCCAGATAACAACTCTAAGGACGAGAAAGAGAGGGACATCTCAAAGAAGGCATCAGAACTTAGTGATTCGAATTTTAGGAAAAGAAAAAGCACTGAATATAAAGTTATGTGGGGACCAGCAGATGGTGTGATGGTTACCCACTGGACTCCCACATAGTTGATCGCAGCTCCAGTCCCAGACCCAGCAGCTTAAAACTCACACTGGACACATGTGAATGTGTGCGTGTCCAAGATCCAGAGAGGAGAACGAAGGAGAAGGGATTGCAGTGTGGCCATCCCCCCGGGGGTGATTTCTCGCTTTCTGTCTGTCTGTCTCTCTCTTTCTGGCGAGCACAAGTGCCCTATAGCAAAAGTGTCTCTCTCTCTCCTCTCTCTCTCTCTCTCTCAATAAATAAATAAATAAATAAAATAAAAGTTATGTGTATTTCTGAGAAATGAACGTGCTGTTTTGGTTTTTATTTCTACACCAAGGCAAGGAGGCCAGCAGGTGGTGTAGTGGTTAAGGCACTGGACTCCCACATGGCTGACTTCTAGTCCTAGACCTGGTGGGTTGAAAATTATTCCAGGCATGTGTGTACAAGCCTAAAATCCCAGGAGGAAAATGGAGGAGGAGGGACTGCAGCGTGGCCAACCTCCCGGGGTGGGGGGGTGATTTCTCACTTTCCCTCTCACCATCTCTCTCTGTCTCTCTCCAGCAAGTGCATGTACCTTACAACAAAAATCTTAAAAAACAAACAAACAAACAAGGCAGGAAGGATGGCAGGGAGAAAACACCAACTATTTTATCTTACCTTTAATTGCTGGCACACTTTATTATGTAAACTGCATTCCAGTTGAACCTGCAAGAGGCTAGTATTAGTGGCTTCTGCCTAAAAGGAGAAAAAAAAGGAAGAAGGAACTTAAAAGGAAGCAAGAGGGTCAGTCAAGCATTAATAGCAAACAATCTCCATTAAAACGGCCAAACATCTAAATAACTGGTATCCCAGAAGGTGAAGAATCTAGTAAGGGCATTGATATTCTATTCCATAAAATTCTGGAAGAAAACTTTCCCAATTAATGCTAGAGAAGCATTCAAACATCCAGACTCAAGAAATACAAAGGACCCCAAACAGAATCAACCCAAGAAGATCCTCTCCATGGCACATCATAGGCAGACTGGCCAAAATCACAGTTAAATATTCTAAAACTGGCAAGAGAGAAATGCCAAGTTACCTACAAAGGAAACCTCATCAGGCTCACATTGGACCTCTCAGCGGAAACAATGCAAGCAAGGAAAGAATGAGAAGATATATTCAAAGTGCAAAAAGAAATTTAATTTCAATCAAGATTACTATACCCAGCAAGACTATCCTTCAAGTGGGAAGATAAAAACATTCTTGGATAAACAAAACCTGAAAGAATTTATGAACACCCAACCAGCTCTTCAAGAAATATTTAAGGAAGTGCTATACCAGAAAAACTAGAGACCAACACACACAAGAGAACAAATAACAACCAAGAGGATCCAACATAAATGAATGAAAACTCCATGTTAGATAGACACTTTTTTTCAGTATTTTTGGTGTAAGTGACTTGTCATGTATTCGCTTTCTTTAGAGTCTAATTTGATTTCTTAATGTTTAAGATTCTATCTCTACACTAATTTTATACACTATAAAAGTAACTGTGACCCAAATGGGGGGGAAAAAAAAGCATTTGGGCCAATGTTAAATTCTTTGCATGCTAGAAAAGAAATACTTTGGAATCACTTTTAGACAATTTGAGTTCCAGTTTAAATCTGTCACTTTTCTTTTTAAAATATATTTACTTCTCATGTACTTCTGCTTAAAAGAAAAAGAGCTGAGTATTGCCACAATGAAAAAAAAATAGATTAGACTTTCTGACATGTTGAAATTATATGAGAAACATGTCAAATATGAAATGGTGTTTAGCTCTCTGTGTATAGAAACTTGTGTCAATGGGTATTCCAAAACTGTATGAGATTCTTAAGTATCTGTTGTGTATTAGCATGCTATTAGTCATACCTGTAATGCTAAATAGTTCTAATATAGTTTGCCACAGAAATGATCAAATTTTTCAATTTCAGGTTATGGTAAAATCAGATCTCAAACCATGGTCATTTTAAGTTTCATTGTCCATAGTTAATTGCTTTATTTTGATGCTCTTTGTAAAACATTTTGTAATAGGCTATAATTCAAAATGGCCTCTTTTAAGGAAATTAATGAAAAAGACTCTGATAAGTACCCTTGAATAGAAGTTTTTGTTAACTTTGAGATCGTATTTCTGAACTTCCAGCATTTAAATGGCAAGATCAGACCACAGTAACACTTTAAACTCAACATTAGAGAGATTAATTACATGAGACTGAACTGGTAAAATAGAATTTCATGACTTTTGACTAAAACATAACTGATTTTTTTTTTCTCTGCTTTGTTTTCCAGAATTAAGGATTTTTATCTCCTTTAGGGTGTTTGACAGCTCCAGCAATTTGTTTAAAAAAGGAATTATTTTTTGAAGATGGAATTGAAACATAAATTTTTCTTCCATCCTGACCCCTCTGAAATTCGAATGTATTTATGAGTATTCTTAGGTTGTGACAGAATGGTTATTTGCGTAAGTTCAATAATATCTGTTGCCTTACATCAGAAATTGGAAATACTGGTTATTGCCAGGGCTCTGACTGGAGTGTCTTACCTGCAGATATGACCAGAAAGCGAAGGAATTAAGGTGGATTTCAAGAAAGCCAACAGAAGCTCTTGGAAAGATTGACCGGTACCATGAACAGTTCTGCCTGGCAGGTAAGTAAAGAATGTCACTTCCTGACAGGCCTCAAAACATCCAAGTCCAGGTACTTAAAGGCCCAGGCAGATGGGGAATTCCTGACTGGGCTCAGCAGCCTTGGAGGCTTTTTTAAGAGTCTAGTCTGGGACCAGCAGATGGCGTAATGGTTATATCCCTGGAATCCTATGTGGTCAACCACAGTTTGAGTCCTGGACCTGGTGGCTTAAAACTCACACTGGGCACATGTATGTACATGCCCAAAATCCCAAGAGGAGAATGGAGGAGTAGGGATTGCAGCGTGGCCATTCCCCTTGGGGGTTGATTTCTCACTCTCTGTCTCCCCAGTCAGCACACACGCCCTACAGCAAAAGTCTCTTTAAAAAAAAAAAAAAGAGTTTAATCTGAAGCTTCTTATAAAAGGTTCCAACAAAGCCAACTAAATCAATTACTATTCTTATGGGGCTTTTTGCAAATAACAGACCAAATTGAGGCTAAATTAATTTTTTGTGCAAATAAGTTAGTTTATGCTTCTCTTTGGTGAAAAGGGGAATGGAGAAAAAAAATGTTTCAGAAGAAAATTATAGTATACTTGTTATTAAACTTTAGCTCTGTACAGATTTGGTTTTTGAATTTTTAGTATCTACCTGGTGTTTGGACAGAATCCTAACCCGTTTCCTGGCTTTTAGTCTTAAGCAAATTTTTATTAATTTTTTTATAGATTCATTAAAGCTAAAACTGCTTTTCTTGAAATAAAAAAAATAATAATAATAGCAAACTAAAGACAGTGCAGGAGAAAGACGGGCAATGGAGCGGGGAGGAGGGAATCCAGGGGGGGGAAGGAGCAGAATATTTAATGGACACACAACGGAAAATAGCCTCCTGATAATAATGTGTATGATCATCTTTGGCCGGGCCGATATGCAGAGTATTCAAGGTGGCCACATTCATTTTTTATGCTGTAAAGATGTGATTTTTAAAAACTAATCATTAAAAAAAGAAAAATAGTAAACTATCATGTGTTCAGAAACCGTACTCATTGATTTAATCGATATCGGAGTCTTGGTCAAGCGCTAGGCTTCACTCTCTTTACTGGACACACGGCTGTGAGCAAAACAAAGATCCAGGCTGTCACCGAGCTCCCACTCCGACAGAGGTCCTGCATTCTCCTTTGGCAACACGAACATCCCTGATACACCAACAAACAGGTGAATGAGGTCTACGTATGCGTGAGAATGCTGCCGTTTGGTGTTTCCAATGCTGGTTGAACACTTATGTAATACAGCCGTCTACTTTAATTGTAAAGCAGGTTTACCCAGGAACAGCCAAATGGCTTTTGTTTGTTCCTATCAGCACAATGAGAAGCCACGAACCTCCCATCAGACAAAACCAGAGAGACGGCCGGAAATCAACTGGTTATCTTTTTTAATATGCAGGAGAGCGATGGGCAGAAGAAGCCAACGTATGGGAAAGAAGGCAGGGGGACCAGCAGATGGTATAATGGCTACATACTGGACTCCCGCGTAGTCAACGGTGGTTCAAGTCCTGGACCCAGTGGCTTGAAACTCATGGCAGGCTCATGTGTATGCGTGCATGCCCAAAATCGCAAGAGGAGAACAGAAGAGAAGGGACTGTGGCACGGCAACACCCCCCGGGGGGAGGAAGATTTATTATCTCTATCTCTGTCTCTGTCTCTCTGGCAAGGGCACACGCCCTATAGCAATAATCTCACTCTTAAAAAAAAAAAAAAGAATGCAAAACTTTATCAAGCTCAAAGGCCCTATGGGCATATGGGATGGGATGAATATAGCTTCGAGAAAAGGAAAAAACGAAGGACCCAGCCCTGAGGGGGACAATGGGGGCTGCAGACGACAGTGAGCACACAGAGAAGGCAGTGAGGCATGTGATCTAGAGGGCCCGGCCCTGAGAACCCCTCTGCTGTGAAGTCTGACGTCTCTGGCACGGGGTTTACAAAAAGGTACTCGACCTGGGAACCCCAGTCAAAGCATCAGATCTCACGGGTTAAAGGGCACTCCCTGGGCCAGCAGGTGGCACGGTGGTTAAGATGCTAGACTCCCACATGGCTGACCGTAGTCTGAGTCCTGGGCCTGGAAGTTTGGAAATCACACCAGGCGTGTATGCACGTGTGCTCAGAATCCCAAGAGGAAACTCAAGGAGAAAGATCTGCAGTGTGGCCATCTCCATGGAGGGTGGTTTCTCATTTTGCCTCTGTCTGTCTCTCTGTCTCTCTCTCTCTCGCTCGCTCCCTGGTGAGCATGCAGCCCTATGGCAAAAACAAAAATAAATAAAAAGAAGGCATCCCTCAAAGCCTTGGCTGATTTAATCACAGTCAACATTGACTAACTTCAGAAAGGTGCATTGTTAAGTAGAATCAGCACAATTATATTTAATTTGTTAGACAGGTAAGACTAGTTTATATTATATAAAAATGCATGTTTAACTACTTTAAATTGTCATTCAAAATTTGGAATAAACTATATTGCTCTTAAAATGCAACGAGCATACTTAAAGAGTTAACTAACTTATAAACAGGATCAAACATTAGTAAAATGTATTTTAAAAATGTGATGGGGGACCAGCAGTTAGCGTATTGGCTATGTCGCTGGAGTCCCATGTAGTTGACTGCAGTTAGTGTCCTAGACCCGGTGGCTTAAAACTCACGCTGGGTGTGTGTGCGTGCGTGCCCAAGATCCCGAGAGGAGAATGGAGGAGAAGGGATTGTGGCGTGGCCATCCCCCCTGGGGGGTGATTTCTCATTGGGAACCAGCAGTTAGCGTAATGGCTATGTCGCTGGATTCTTACGTAGTCGACCGCGGTTCGCGTCCCAGACCCGGTGGCTTAGAACTCACGCCAGGCGCATGTGCGTGCGTGCCCAAGATCCCGAGAGGA